GTCAGAACAGACTCGACGGCACTTAACAACACCACCACTACAGAACTGAAGAAAATTAAAAGTAAACCCACAAACAAAATGAACACAGCACAGAAAATTGTGTGGAAGAAACTAGCAACATCACAAAAAAATACACAGCAAAATGACAGCAATCAATTCATACCTATCAATGATTATACTGACTGTAAATGAATTAAATGCACCAGACAAGAGGCAGAGAGCAGAATGGGTAAGAAAACAGGATCCTTCATATGCTGTTTGCAAAAGATGCATCAAAAAAGACAGATACGGCCTAAATGCCCACCCACAGAAGAATGGTTAAACAAACTTTGGCACATACACACAGTGGAATACTATATGCAACTCTGAAGAATAATGATGGATCCGGGAAATACCTCACAACATGAATGAACTTGGAGGACATTTTGCTGATTGAAATTAGTCAATGAGACCAACGTTGCAAAAAGCCAAGAAAATATTTTCTTAATAAAAGAAACCATCTATGATGTTTATGGGTGGGGGGAGCATTATTGCATGAATTAGAAGGCAGACACATGTTAACATGGGTGACAGGTCAGGTAATATACAAGAGGTAGGTTGTTGTTATGTGCCCTGGAGTAGGTTCCAACTCATAGTGACCCTGTACAGGGTTTCCACGGCTGTAGATCTTTATGGGAGCAGAAAGCCTCATCTTTCTCCCGCGGAAGAGCTGGTAGTTTCGAACTGCTGACCCTGAGGTTCACAGCCCGATTCGTAACCATTACACTACCAGAGCTCCTTAAAACAAAGGTAGTGGGAGACACAAGAAGGAATGCAATAGTTAAACAGAGATAAATAATGTTAACTGTTGGTACATGGAAGGGTTTGCAATCATTGTAATAAAGCACGGTATATGATTTGCTGAATGTAGAATTCATGATCTGCTCTGTAAACCTTCATTCAATTCACAATAAAAAGTTTTTTTTTTTTTTAAAAAAGACCAAATATTATCATTTCATTTATATGAAATCTTCAGAAGTCGTAGTGCATTTCAACGGTCTGGTTTTGTAAATTGTATAATGTCACTTCCACTGTTGAGGGGGCCACAAAGGCCCACCCATTTTCAATGAGAGGAGACATAAATTCCAACTCTTGCTGAGGAAATTGTAAGGTTCTGGAAGTGCACGTGGGGCGGGAAATATTATTGTGGCCATTTTTGGAAACTACAATTTGACACAGATCTGGCATGTCCTTTAGGGTATACTCAGCTGAAACAGACAACATCTAAATAATGGCTCAAGGCACCATGATGTTGTTGTTGTTAAGTGCCGTCGAGTCAGTTCCGACTCATAGCGACCCTGTACAGCGTTTCCGAGGCTGTAAATCTTTATGGGAGCAGAAAGCCTCATCTTTCTCCCGTAGAGCAGCTAGTAGTTTCAAACTGCTGACCTTGCGGTTCACAGCCCGATTCGTAACCACTATGCTACCAGAGCTCCTTAGACACCATGATAGTTGTTGTTTATTAATAACAGCTCCTGAAGTCAATAGTTCCAGGTTGATTTCTGGATCAACAATGTTAACGTCTTCTTGCCCTGCCCAGGCAACTCAGCAGGTTGGCTTTTCATATTTGTGCTTATTGTCGCACAGTTGCAAAATGCTCACCACACACCTCCCAGTATGATGTCCTGAACCAAACACTACCCAAAGTTGTTGTTGTTGTTAAGTGCCCTTGAGTCGAGAGAGCAAAAAAAAAAAAAAAATGGTTATTCTACTCTATACCTCCCTTTCTTCAGAGGGAATAAAACTTTCTCATAAACACCCAACAGACATTCTCTTTTATCATTGGCCAAATCAGGATCACATGCCCACACTGGACCAATCACTGACAAAAGAAAGAGATTCGTGAGATTGGTTTAGAGCAATCGTGATTCATCAGGGCTTGAGCAAAATTCTTCTTCTGGAAGCAAAGATGGTGGCATGCTGACACTGCGTGCCTCATCTTGGTTTCCATACTGAGGTTTCATTCTTTCTTCTTGGGTGGGACTTGAGTTGGCCTGAGGGGATTCAGATGAAACAGCCACCCGACCCTCAGAAAGCTTATAATGTGGTGAGATTGGGAATTTACACAAGTAATTCTAACTATAAATTCCTGAAGACAGAGATGAGGTCTTCTGTCAACAAACCTTTACAAATGTGCTTGCTGGGTACTAAATTAGATATTTGAAAGACAACAATGAAGACCTAAAAACCTCCCATCTATGAGAAAATCTCCAAACTGACAATCTCGGAGTAATGAGTGCCAAATGAGGGATAAACCCAGAAAGTAATTGGAGCAGAGGAGGTACAGAGCATTTGCGTGAGGCTTTTCTGCGATGATGTCAGAATGACAGATTATATGCTGAGTCAAGATTGTCATTGATTTCAACTCATGTGACAGAGTAGGTCTGCTCCATACTGTTTTTCTAGTCTCGGATCTTTATAGAAAGAACCCTTGTGGCACCCAGGTTAAAGTGATTGATTGCTAGCAGAAAGGTCACACCAGCCTCCGAGGTAGAAAAATGTGGTAGTCCGTTTCCAAAAATGTGGTTGTCTGCTTTCGTAAAGATTTATAGTCTTGGACACTCTGTGTGGCAGTTCTGTTCTGTCCTATTGGGTCACATGAGCCTATGAGTTGGACTTGACTATGAATAGGAACCTATACAGGATCGCTATGAGTCAGAACCGACTCCATGGCACACCACCACCACTACAAAGGACCTGTGGCTTTTGGGATCTTTACAGGAGCAGATCGCATAGTCTTTTTCCCTTGGAGTCACTAGAAGCATTTGAAAACAATTTCCCCCTGGAGGAAGATAGTATACACAGGTAGCAACAAGTCTTGTAAAAAAGAATGGAAGTATTAAGCAGGACACCTTGAAATTAGATGTGGCTAGAGATTAGCTGAACCCACCTTCTGTGGCCTTTTATGCCTGGCTAAAAATTATATTGTAAGATCCTCATCCAACCCCTCTACAACAAAAATATATGAGTGCCAGGCTGCCAGCCACTGAAGAGAAAGATAAAAGGCTTTTTTTCCCCAATCCTTGCAAAGATTTAAAAGCCTCAGGCCCAGGAGAGCTATAGCCCAGGGTGAAGTATGAGAAGCCCCAATGTTCAAACAAGAGGATAATTATGGAAGCATATTCCAACTTTGCACCTCAAGATAGAGACTAGATCCAATCAAGGATTTGTCTTGAAGGTGGAAAGAACGAGCGTCACTGTTGCTTTGAAACTGCGAATTATATAACTGACCAAACAAACAAGAAAGATGAAGACAGCAGGAGACACAGGGAGGAGTGTTAGTGTTAAGTGAATAGAGCTAAATGCTGTTAATTGTTGGTATATGGAGGGGACTGCAAACATGTAATGAAGCAAAGTATAGGATTTGTTCAATGTAAAACCAATGATCTGCTCTGTAAAACTTCACTCAATTCACAATAAAAACAGTTACAAGTAAAGAAGATGAAGGATTCACTGTACCAAAAAGAGATGGTTGATGTTAAACCATTTCAAACAACAACAAAAAAGTCTTCATCAATCTATCAGTATATTCTTTTATCATTATCAGTCTATGACACCTAACAACTGTACTAGGTGCCTTGGGGCCTTTGCAGCAGTTTTTACCTGAGATCTTTCTAGATTTCAACTCACTTTTCATCCTCTTGTTGCTAAGTGCTGTTGAGTCAGTTTATTATACACAAGAGAATGAAACACTGTCTGGTCCCGCCTTATCCTCACCAATTGTGGTTATATTTGAGTCCATTGTTGCTTTTCAATCCATCTCCTTAGGGGTCTTCCTCTTTTCCACTAACCTTCCACTTATCCAAGCATGATGTCTTTTCTAGGAACTGGTCCCTCTGAAAACAGGGCCAAAGTACATGAGAAGTCTCACCATCCTTTCTCACTTCTAAGGAGCATTCGTGGCTGTACTTCTCCCAAGAGAATTTTGTTTCTTTTTCTGGCAGTCCATTATATTTTCAATATTCTTCACCAACACCATAATTCAAATCAGTAGATGCTTCTAAGATTTTCCTTATTCACTGCCCAACATCCACATGTGTATAAGGCTATTGAGAAACCATTATTTGTCCCCTTGTCTAAAAACAGCCATCATGCGGTTATTACCCTGTTTCGTTTTCTCTATAACAGTAATCCAGGAGTCCTGGTGGTGCCGTGGTTAAGCCCTCAACTGCTGAAAGGTTCGAACTCACCAGCTGCTCCACGAGAGAAAGATGCTGCAGTCCTTCAAGATTCAACCTTAAGAACCTTATTGAGCCGTTCTATCTACTCTGTCCTATGTTGTTGATGATAAGTGCCGTCGAATCGGTTCCCATCCGCAACGACCCTGGATAGGGTCCAAGGGACGGCTGGTGAGCTTGAACCGCCGACCTTGCAATTCAAACCGACTTTTCAGTCTAGCGCATTAATCCACAGCGCCACACCAGAACTCCACTCTGTCCTATACTATAGCGCTAATTATATTATGAGATTATCAGCTTCACTGGTTGCTTAGTTAATTGTCAGATTGTAGGAATCTTGGTGTGGCAGGACCAGCTCTGGACCGTAAGGTCAGTTTGAACCGCAAGGTCGGCGCTTCAAACCCACCAGCCACTCCTCAGATACCCTCCCTATACAGGGTTGCTATGGATCAAAGCCAACTTGATATCACTTAACAACAACACTAGAATGTAGGCTCCATTCAGGGAGAAATCCTGCTTCCTCCGTTGCTTCGTTTATAATGACAGGCACCTCAAAGGAGCACCAAGCCCCAGGGATCTACCGCGCTTCGCGACCCTAAAGTTTCGAACGGATCACGTGCAGAGGGCGGGGCGCTGCGCGTTGCCTGTCCGCGCAGGCTCCGCCCCACCCCGCCCACTCCCAGCTAGTTAAATTGGCGGATCCAAGTCCGCTGCTGGTGTTTCCACCCGGAAGCGGATCCATCACCTCGGGTGAAATAAACTCGCCGCACCCTCCATTCCCTGCTTGCCGGCCCTTACCGGGATGGCCCCCAAATCCCCAGACTCTGTAGAGGGGCTTCGCGCCGCCGGCAACCAGAGCTTCCGCAACGGCCAGTATACCGAAGCCGCCGCGCTCTACAGCCGCGCGCTGCGGGTACTGCAGGCGCGAGGTACGACCCCAGCGGATCTCGGCCCGTCCCCCATTTCTCCCCCAGGCTTGCCTCCTTCTCTGCCGCCAGACCACCAGACCTCGCTGTATCCCTTTTCTCTTAGGGTTTCCTTTTTTGTGTGTCTTGACTGTGCCGGCAGGCCCTCCCACCATCCTTGACTGTAGCATCCTACGAGAAACTTCCTTGGCGCTCGCTTTCCGCCTCCTTTTTTTTTTAAACTACCCTGTTGTCCTCCATCCTAAGTGATCTGGACCTCGCCTTCTGATCCTTGAGATTAGTATGGCTCATACTAATTCCTTTCTTTACTCCAAGTATTCTTTCTTTAATTACATTAATATTTGTTGAATAGAATACCTTGCTATATATTGGGTGTATAACAACATCCTTTACATTCGTAACACACTTTACAAATAAGGAGTCCAGAGAGTTAAATTACCTGCCTGGGGTTCCACACTGGCCACATGTGAGAGTCAGGGATTGAATATGGATCTCTCCGATGTCCCAGTCCAACATCTTAATCACTGTGCTAGATTTCTCCCCAAATTCCAGGCTGTCTGGTTGAACTTTGGCAGTTTCAAGCCACTTCTTTCCCTCTCCCTCCCTCTCTCCTTTTGTCTTTCTTTTTAGAACACTCCTCCAGGCCCACTCCTCATGCCATCCTCAGTGTACGGTCACTGAAGAATCTGAGGGAGGTCTTGATGTTTCTGCATTTTTCTTTTCTCTCACCCCAGCTGTAGAGGCTGACTTCCATTAGGGAAGCTTGTACTTTTACATGGGTTTGTTTAGGGTCCCTACAAAAGCTGGCTGGCTATTTAGGTTTGCAGGGGGTGAGAGTTTGATTCTGCTCCTGTTACTGCTTTTCCTGGTAATTTGTGGGCAAGTCCCTGATTCCTCTGGTTTTGCTAATTTTGAAAGGAGAGCAGAGAGCATTGTAACACAAAGAACCCTAATATATGAACCTATTGCCATTTCACAGACTTTGCTGGGAGAGGTTGAGTAACCTATGTGTGCTTACAGGCTGGATTTTAGGTTGTGATGCCCTTTCCACCACCCCCGTGCTGCTTCTTAGCAACGCTTCTCTGTTGGCTTAAGGTGGACTACTGGTTTTGAGTACTTGTATTTATCTCAGTAATTTGGCGTCTCACTCAAATGAACAAGAAAAGGCACACACAAAAAAACAGTTACCAAGTAAGATTCCCACTTGTGGTCACTCCATGTGTCCAGGGCCTGGGAAAATAAGAAAAAATAAGCTATTGATGTATTTGTTATGTTTGTTGTTGGGAATGAATGAAGGGTATCATGTATCAACACGGTAGCATGATCCTTCCTGAAAAAGGCAAGTAGCAGAAAGACAGGCAACTTGATGCCACTTAGGAAATATTCTTAAAGCTATAAAGTGGCACTGTGTCTTACCGGTGAATACACATGTGATAAAGGTGTACTGACTGCATTAGAATGGCACATACCAAATTCAGGATATTGTGCTTATTTCTGGAGCCCAGGAGAGACCGGGACAAGCACAGGATAATGGGCCTTCAGCCCGGATCAAAATGATAAAGAGTTGGAAGCAAATACGAGTGAGCTTCACAAAGTTTGTGGGAAAGTGGAATGTTTCCACATATAATGTGTGCTAACTCTAGTGGCAGGAACTGAATTTCAAAGGAACCTGGAAAGACAGATGGAGAGAAAGGCAGGCCTGCCTCCCTGAGAGAGGAGACAGGGAGCATTTGGTAGCTATATGGTAATGTCCTTGTGGGACTGTGAAGTGTGGTGGCTCACAGGCAGCCACACTTTGAGTTCTGCTGTGTAGTTGGTATAAGAGATGCATTTTAGGCTCATCCAGTTATGTCCACAATAGAACTAAAAGCCAGTTGAAAAAAAATGCCTGGCTTATGGTTTCAGTTTCCAGTACATGTAAGACTGAAATGAAACCTATTCAGCTACACACAGAGAGTGATGTCATTATGGCCAGTTTTTCTGTTCTCTTATTTTCCAAACTTTCCAAAAGTGAACCTGTGTTACCTTCTGTGATCTCAAAAGAAATTTCTTTATTGTAAACAGCACATTAACATTTGCCATTGTAACCATTTGAAGGTGTTCAATTCAGTGGCCTTAAGCACATTCACACTGTTGTGTGGCCAGCACCTTTGTCTAGTTCCAGACTGTTATCTCACTCTAAAGGGAAACTCCCTATCCCATAATCAGTTACTCTCCATCCTCCCCTCCCCAGGCAACCACTAATCTTTCTTTCTCTACTAATGTGTCTGTTCTAGACATTTAGTGTAAATTTGTTGTTGCTGTGTACCTTCAAGTAGGTTCCGACTTGGGGACCTTATGCACAGAATGAAAGTAACACTGCACCAGCCTCCCAGTCATCATTACTCATGAGCCCACTCCTGCTGCCATTGTGCCAACACTGTTTCATATAAATAGACTTACACAGTATGTGGTCTTTTGTTGGCTTCTTTTACTTAGCATAATGTTTTCAGCATTCGTCCAAGTTGCAGTGCGTACCAGTACCTCATTGCAGAATCATCTTTCATGCTATGGATAGACTTACATTTTGCTTATCCATTCATTGCTTGACTATTTGGTGTATATATTTTGGCTATTGTGAATAGTGCCGCAGTGAACATTTCATGCACAAGTTTTTGTGTGAACACCCGTTTTCAGTCCCTTTGGCATCTCCCTGGGAGTGGAATTGCTGGGTCGTAGGTTAACTGTTTGAGGAACTGTCATAGTTTTCCATACCAGCTGTATACACATCGTACATTCTCACCAGCAGTGTGTCCATATGAGTGTTCCAGTTTCTCCATATCCTCACCAACACTTAATTAGTTTTCTTTTTTTGGTTGTGGAGTTCTGGTGTGGCACTGTAGAGTAAACACTGGACCACAAGGTCGGTTTGAACTACAAAGTTGGCAGTTCCAAGTCACCAGCTGCTTCTCGGACCCCTATACAGGGTGGCTCTGATTGGGTGTGAAGTAACTGAAAGAGTAACCTTAAAAAATGTATTTTTCAAAAAAAATTGTAACCGTGTCTTAGTTATATAGTGCTGCTGTGACAAATACATGTGGGTTGCTTTAACATGGAGAAATTTATTTTCTGAGTTTATGAGACTAGAGGTCCGAATTCAAGACAGTCATTCTAGGAAGGCTTCCTCTCTGTGTTGGGTGTAGTGGGCGGTCTGTGGTGATCTTCATGTGGTTCATTCTCTGAGCCTGTTGTCGTGAAGTGCCCTCAAGTTGGTTCTGTTTCATAGCCACCCTCCATTGCTTCGTCTATAATGACTGGCACCTCAAAGGACCACCAAGCCCCAGGGATCTACCACGCTTCGCGACCCTAAAGTTTTGAACGGATCGCGTGCAGAGGGCGGGGCGTTGCACGTATAGGGTTCCCGAGGAGCAACTGATGGGTTTGAACTGCCCACCTTGTGGTTCACAGTCTAGTACTAATTCTACAATGCCACACTAGGAGTCCTCTCTTGTGCCTAATCTTCTCTTCTTATCGCTCAAAGGTAATTGGTTTAAACATACTCTACGCTGTGGCTCTGCGGGTTAATGCCCTGGACTTCAAAATCGGTTTGAACTGCAAAGTTGGCGGTTCAAGCTCACCAGCCACTCCTCAGAAACCCTATACAGGATTGCTGTGGGTCAGAACCAGTTCAGTGGCACTTAACAGCAACAACAGACACTGCCCCCTGGCTTCATTAGAATATTAAAGAAAGCCCTTTTCCCAAATGGGATGACATCCACAGGTATAAAGATGTAGGATTTATAACACATATTTTGGGGGGACCCAGTTCAATCCATGGACATTTGGTGTGCTGCTCTGTGGATCAGCACTGGACTGCAAGCCACAGGTTGGCAGTTCATACCCACCAGCTGCTCCTTGGAAACCCTGTACAAAGTTGCTACGAGTCGAAGCTGACTCGCTGGCACTTCACAACCACACAATTCAATCCATAACAGGCCACAATAAACCCTGCACTTTTGAAGCTCCTGAGGGTCATAGCCGCCATCTGGTGTGTTGAGTGCTGCCCGACCCCTAATGACACCACCTGCTACAGGAGAGCTGCCCCCTAGAGTTTCTTGGGTGTGATCTTTACAGAAAGGAGGACTGGTAGGGTAGTGGATTACATGCTGGGCTGCTCACCGGAAGGTCAGCAGTTGGACTCTACCAGTTGCTCCATGGGCGAAAGGTGAGGCTTTCAGCTCCCGTAAAGATTGACAGCCTTGGAAACCTTATACAAGATCTTTGAGTGGCCCACAACCCTCACCACCACCATCTCTACAGAAGGTGGGCTGCAATGATTTATTGAATACAGTTCTTCTAGCTGCAGTCTTTGTAACTCCCACTAAAGGACAGTTTTCCTAATGGGTCTGGGTAACAGATTCAGTTGTGTTATTAATTGATAACAGGGTTCATTGTGATGGTAAAATTGAGGGGATTGGTCAGTTTTGCCATTAGCAGTAGAAAGGTGGAATCTCACTAGAAAGAAGAGCCTGGAGTGTCCTTTGGACCGTAAGATCCCTGCCTGGTAAACCTCCTTGGTCCAGAGACAGAAAACGGTGACACCAGAATTAAGAGCGAGAGCACAAGACAAAGTGGCGGGCTGCCAGGCCCACAGAGCAAGTGAAATCACGTGCCTTTCCTAAAGGGATCCCACTTGTGGAGTGGGGTGCCTCCAAGCATTTAAACTAGGGAGCTAGAGCTGAGCAATGTGGCCCGAGATACAGAGCCAGGGGAGTGCCCTTAGGGTGTTTACAAGCAGTCCTGAGAGCTCTGTAACATGGCCTCAACAGGACAGAGGCCAGGCCAAGGGGCTGAGAGACAAAGAAAGGTGTGCCTGTGGACAGGGGTGAGAAGAGGCGCTTCATACCTAACAACTGTATTCTTAACACTTCTGATCCTGAAATGTAACCCGTTCACTTCTTTAATAATCTCTGTAATCCTGAGTATGGTATAGGAGTTCTCTGTGACCACTGCAGCAATTTACTGAATCCAGCTTCTCAGCACAGCGAGCTGTGGGAGGGGTGGTTGGTGTCAGAATCTGTAAGGAAGGTTGGAGAGTGGAGGCATGTCTGACCTCAGCCTCATGGAATTGGTACTGGTCTCCTATTGATTAGCTTGATTTTCCTTCCCCCTTGTGAAGTCACGCCACCTGTTTTGCAGAGCAAATTGTCAGCTCCTTCTCCCAAGGTGCCACCAAGTGGTTTGAACTGCTAACTTTTCCATTAACAGCCGAGCACTGAATCATTTGTACCACCAGAGCTCTGCTCTCTAATAATTCTCTGTCTTACTTGGTGGCCTAACTGCTCCCCTTGAGTAAGCTCATAATCCTGTAAGACCTTGATACCGCTTCTCTGGCAAAAGTCCTTGATTGGAAAAATACTTTCTATGTTTCCTATCTTCACAACACTAAATGATCAGCCCATTTAGTACAGCATTTATTGTATCATTTTCCTTTATTATTTTGCTTATTAAGTGTACAGGCTTTTTGTAATAGAATTAAGCCCCCCACACATGCAAGTAGTTCCAGCATGAATATCTTCAAGACAGCCAGCTATTCCATATTTATCTTTTACCTCATGGGTGAGTAAATGAGAACATGCGTGGTTCCCTTGCGAATGGCGGAAAGCTCCATGTCCTCACTCTCCTGTAAAAATGACAGACATGCCAGCCCATCAGACCAACAGACCTGACAGTTCACACTTGTCTCTGCTGCTTTTCACCAGCTTGGGGTGTGATGTGCAGACCAATGTCCCAGGCATTAATTTCCCAACTTGATTATCTTCTCGCTCTTTCAGGCCCCAAAAAGGGAGGTTCTGCAAACCCTGAAGAAGAAAGTGTCCTCTACTCCAACCGAGCCGCGTGCCACTTGAAGAATGGGAACTGCTCAGACTGCATCAAAGATTGCACTTCGTAAGTGGCCAAGACTAACTTTCAAGATGCTTGAGGGTCTTGGAAGAGGGGACTGGGTTTTATCTGGCTTGTTTGTTTTCTGGACTGGTCCTACTGGTTACATCAGTGACAGGTTTTAGGATGTGGCATTTCCCAAGTCATTGAGAATGGGAGGGTCCTTGTGACCTCTGACCTGTGTTCTTGGAGAGTCTCACCCCTACGACTGAAAAAGGAGACGGATGGGCAGTTCAGGGTAGGCCTGAAGATCTCTGGCATTGAGGTCCTAGGATGAGGTGGAGTTCCAGACCACCTCTGCACCTGGCTTGCCCAGTTGTTGTGTCTGTGTGTAAGAGAGACAAGATAGGAAGAGATAGGGGTTAGTGTTGTTAAATACTGTCTGACTCGGCCCAACTCTTAGCTACCCTGTATAGAGTTTCCAAAGAGCAGTTGGTGGGTGGGTTTGAACAGCCAACTTTGCAATTAGCAGCCTAGTGCTTATTCTGCAGCTCCCCACCAGGAATATCTCCCAAGAAAGGAAAAAGTGCTTTCTATCAATGCCCACCTTCAGGGAAGCCCTGGGCGGTGCACAGGGTTTAACACACTTTGCTGCTAACCAAAAGATTAAAGATTTCAGCCCACCCAGAGTTGCCTCAGAAGAAAAGCCTGGCTGTCTCCTATCAAAAAGTCAGCCATTGAAAACCCTGTGGAGCACAGCTCTACTCTGACACATGTGGGGTCACCATGAGTTGTAATTGACTCATTGGCAACTGGTTACTACTGGTCCAAGGGCATTAAGCACAATTTATGTTTCCTTCCTTCCTTCCCCAAGCTATTTTATTATTGCTTTCTGCCATCACTGCTAAGCTTGTGCACGTACCGTAAATGTGTTTTCAGAGTGGACATCCTGTAACACAGGTGCTTATACTGCTGATAGACAGGTGAGGAGGGAGAGAGGTGAGCATGCTCAGTGAGCCTGGGCTAGCTTGGTCTGCCCCAGACCCTGTGCTGGGTTTGCTTCCTGGAGTGCTCACAACCCCTCTCTGGGCCAGGTTTGCCATCCTGCCCATATGAGAGCTGGGAGGCTGAAGGGGTCAGTCATGTGATTTGCCTGGGGTCATACTGTTGATAGCAAAGGTGGAATCCAAACACCACTTCCTATGACTCCAAAGCCTGTTAGTCCCACCAGGCCACAACTTTGCGGAAACATAGTAACATGGCGAAAACCAGGAGGCATTTGCTCTCGGTTTGGCGGGGATTGAGACTAGGCAAATAGATGCATACACATACCATTTTCATGTATTAGTGGTTCTGTGGCCCCTTCCGCCTTCCTGCTTCAGTGTAAGTTACAAAGTCCCTGTTCTCAGGGCTGACATTTCTAGTGGTGGCACCTCAGGCAGCAGTAACCTCCAGTGTACTGCATGCTGCAGTTGGCCCCGACTAGAGCAGTGGTGGTTCAGCAGCCAGGCCACATCCCTGCCTCCCTCTACTCTAGAGCACTGGACTTGGTTCCCTTTGGCATTAAGCCCCTGCTACGACGAGCAGCTGCCTACGAGGCGCTGGAGAAGTATCCGCTGGCCTGTGTCGACTACATGACTGTGCTGCAGATTGATAAGAATATGACGTCAGTCCTGGAGGGCATCAACAGGTGAGCCCAGTTCACTGCAGGTGTCTCCGTGGAGACTCCCTCACCTCCTGGACTGGCTCTGGGTGAGCAGTTTGGATGCCTTCTGGGTTGGTCCATTGTACTAGGCTTAGAAAACCCCTGATGAATATATGGGGTGAAGAAAAATCTGCTTTTGGACTTTAGTAGGTACTTGAGGGGTCAGAATTGCTAAGTGTTGTATATGTATCTCTCTCTTTCTCTATGTATCTGTTTATATTATGTATCTATATATATGTGTACACATACACAGGAGAGGACTTCAAAAAGTTAATGGGAAACTTCCAAGATCTTTTTTCCTTGTTTTCCCCCAATTATCTTTTTTTTTTTTC